TAATCACTGGCAACGTGGTTCTCATTTTGGAGGGTGTGCCAGCGTTCAATCTTCTTGTCCTTGTTCTTCAAGCATTCATACCAGTGTTTCAAGCGCTCCCCCTTCGCCGTAATGCCGAGCTGACAGCCGCCTGGAGGAAAGGGAGGAGAAGAGGCATCATATCTCTTATGAAAAAAGGTTGAGGGAGCTGGGCTTGTTTAGCTTGAAGAAGGCTCCAGGGACACCTCGTGGTGGCCTTCCAGTACTTGAAGGGAGCTTAGAATCTGGAGGGAGAATGACATTTGACATGGGCAGAGAGTGACAGGACAAGGGGAAATGGTTTTTAAATAAGAGAGGGGAGATTTGAGTTAGACATTAGGAGGAAATTTTTCACCCAGAGGGTGGTGAGACACTGGAACAGGTTGCCCAGAGAAGCTATGGATGCCCCATCCCTGGAGACATTCAAGACCAGGTTGGATGGAGCCCTGGGCAGCCTCATCTTGTGGCTGGCAACCCTGTCCACATCAGGGAGGTTGGAACTGGATGATCTTCAAGGTCCCTTCCAACCCAAACCATTCTATGATTCTATGATACTCAGAGATGATGCTGATGTTCCAGGAAACCACTTCCATGGGGACAGACCTCACATTTGCAAGCATTTCTTTCCACCTCCCAGATTTAAAATCTCATGGAAACAACTAGAAGTGTTCTACCTGCACAGAAGACTCCATGGGATGCTGGAGATGGGGCAGCACAGTGGGTCCCTGAGCTCAATCAGCCATTTGATGGCCTGATACAAGCACCCAACCAACCTGCATGGTCCCACCTCAAAGCTCAGCCTGGGGTTCCTCACAGGGCAGGAGACCTACACATCCTTCCTGTACAGCGAGCACCATATTGGGCATCAAAATAGAGCACCCAGATTTTCAGCTCACCGATGTAATCATTCGATTTTCCGATGTCATAATCCCAGACAGAAATATCCAGAGACTTCTTGGCCAGATCGCTGTGTTTTATATCATAGAAGAACTCCTGCAGAAGGAGAACACTCAGGTCACACCAAGCATCCCAGGAAAATACACCCAGAAATCTGCAGCTGGGGAATTGTGAGCGATCTCTCCATACAGCCTCAACTCAAAATCCAACCAGAGCATCTTTAAAATACACCAACGACGAGCAAACGCTCCTCCCAGCTCACAGACAAACCCAGGAGCTGAGCTCACCCCTTGTATCTAAGCGAGCACGTTGCAGTTGTCCCATCAAAGCTGTAGGACCCCCTAGGGATGTACATCCCACCCACACCCCTGGTCAGCCCACACGGAGTCACCAGCACCAGCAGCAGGTTTTGGTGTGACCGGTGCTGCCCAGCACTGAACTGGTGAGATCTCCCATGGCAAAGCCTGGGCACAAGGAGCCTGGGCGAGGAACCAGACCTCAGGGACTTCATCTTCCAGCTCCTCCACACAACACAGTAATTAGCTAAATTGATTTAATAATGTAAAAAAAATATATAAATAGATCCATCCCTTACCTCATTAAACTCAGGATTCAATGTTTTCTTCTTAATCTGTGTCTTGTGCTTGGCCTTTTTTCCCATGTCAGGTTTCAGCCAACTGGGGGCAACAGAAAACAGCTCAAAACTCAAGTGCAAGACCAGTGTGAGCTTATAAGCTAAAAAAACAAAAAAAAAGTGAGGTTTTGGGCTAGAAAAAAAAAAAAAGCAACTGGAAATATTTAAGGCAAAGAAATGGGTCAGGCAGTCTCCTGTTCTACCTTCTAAAATTATCTAAAATAAATGTAGAATGAGTAAAATCCTAAATATTGGGGTTTTTTCCCCTTAGATTGCCAGATGAGACAGGGAGACCATGAAGACCTGCTTTGGGCAAAGTGCTGAGCTCAGCAGAACCCTTTCTGGAGGAGCACCTCTCGCTCTGAGTGGCTGGTAACGTTCTGACAGCAGAAAGCAGCGAGCTCACGCGCACGCTCTTGACGTCCTTCCAAACCACGCGTTGGTCCCAAGTCTTTTTTCCTTAAGCTGAGCTAAAAGAAATGCCTGTAGGTGTTTTACAGAGCAAAAAGGGGTGAACTCTGAATTTCACTGGGGAGGAACCTGTTGAGGTCAGCAGCGGGGAGTGGCTGAAACCATCAGGGAATATGGGAAATGAGTGGTTGGGTTGGTCACCAGCAGATGAAGGTAATTGCCTGGCTGGTCACCAAGTCTGGCTGCTGGAAAATCCAGCCAAGAATGTATGAACACATGCAGAGATGGGGAGAAATATGAAAAAAAAGGATAAAAATAGCCCACTAATGTTTAATGCCACACAGACTAGGACATGCAGCCAAGGTAGGTTCATCTGGAGAACATGGGAAAAATTAAGGCTTGGGCTTCACAGCCTGGCTGCAGACCCAGAACTACACTGTAGAGTTGGCATTAACCAGATTTACATTAGAAGTTGATTTAAAAATGGAAAGGCACCATCTTCTGTCTGTGGGAATGGAAAATATAAGAGAGACTGAGAAGGCAAAGTACTCAGGTGACTCAACTACAACAAGCTGCTCAAAATGCTCAACACCAGAGTTACTGGGTGAGTTTTGGGGAGAACAGAGGGGTTTTTTCTGAAGACAAAGAGAAAACAGCAATGAAAACCACAACCAGGAATGACTGCAGGGTCTCCTCTCCATGTCGTGGTTTATGAGGTTCGAGTTTAAATTCTCTTATCCCCCCACGTTCACAGGAGCCACTCACCAAGCACCGCTCCAGGACAAGCCGAGAGCGTGGAGAGGCACGCTGCTGCTTGAGGAGACCCGCTCCGTGGTGCAGCAAGGCATCACCAGCATGAACCACAGCAACCACCACTGGCTGCATTCATTAAGTCAATTTTTTTGCAGTGGAGATGTGGGATGGGACAGGGACAGGCACGGCATGACCACCCCAAGCTCCAACCAGCATGTGGGCTTACAAGGCAGCAAGTGGGGTACATGTTCCTCGTCAAGCATAGAGGGACATCAAGCCACCACTGTCCTGCAGTTGTGGTGGGTCAGAGCTGGGGAGAAGGACCTCTCATCCTCCAGCTCTGCAGCTATGAGGTGGCTGTTGGAGCTGTGCATCTGTGAACCTACAGGGAGTGGATGGACATAAGGGCTGGGCCAGTCTCACCCAGCTTCATCCATGGCAGGGGCACTATCACCTCAGATGGGGCATCACTGGTGGGCAGCTCACTCCTGCATAAGGTCTCAACATGTTTGCAAAACACACTCCTCTCTCCAATGGTTTTGGAAGATCTCAGTCCATCAGCTACTGCCCAAGGACAGTGGGTGGCTCCACGACCACAGGTGACCACACTAAGCCATCCCCAGCTCCCACTCACAGTTTAACGAAAGGGTCGGAGTATCCGTTGGCGTCCATGGCGGCTAAATGCACGCAGCGTACGATGCCGACGATCAAGCCACCCTGCTGGGTGCTGTACATGAGGGACACGAGGATCTTCCCACGTTCCTCTATATCCCCACCACGATCTACCTGCAAGAGGAAGCAACCAGAGATGGGGACACAGGGGGTTGAGCGAGGAAGGTTGTCAACTGCAGGGTAGATGAGATAAGATGGATACAAGGGAACCATGAATCCCCATGACGAGGAAAGGAGAGGGCTTGTACATGTGAGATGATGGGCGAAACATGCGTGGAGCACGTTGTCCTCCAAGGACTCTTACCTCCTCTTCATAGAGTGCCATGCCACGGGCTGAGCCAGTTGTTCCAGCACGCTTCATCTTGGATGGGGAAGGGAAAAAGAGACACACGGCCATGAGTGACCACAGCTGGGAGAGGCCCCATCCTACAACAAATACATCCCCGGGCACCCAGCCCAGCTCTTTTGCTGGACTTGGGAGTGGAAAGGGGCTCAGGTACGTTCATCTGCTCCATCAACTTCCAGCTCAGCACCTCACCCACAGCACTGGGAAGCAGAGCTCAGGGATGGACTGACCTGGCCTCTCCTCCACAGTGACACACATCAGCATAAGCAACCCCAGCAGATCTGTGGCCACCAGAGAGGTCCCTGGAGTCACTTCCCCTGGATTCCCACCATGCTTTTATCTCATGGCCTTGACATGTCACATCAGCCCAGACATGGCTGGGCATCCAACTCCTAAAGATGCCAAAGGGCATCTACAGCTCTTGGCTGGTTCCAGCTCCAAGGTCCGCACTAACTCCCTCACGTGCCATGTGGTTGCAGCCTCAACATTAATGGTGTCAGGAAGAAATTTCCCAGAAACTCACTGGTATTACTCTCTCCAAGCAGATGTTGAAGTTCTTTTTCTGATTGGCTTTGAGTTTTTTCAAGGAGACTCTAGTTTCTCCAATAAACTCGTTGTGGCCAAATTTGTCTTCATCACACACAGAGATCCTGGAGGGAACAGAGAAGGTGAACATCAACCAGGCTGGAGCAGTACCTGACTTTGGAGCACAAAACTACTCCTGCAAGGGCACTGCTTGGGAGGTGGACAAAGCAAAGCACCACCAAAGCCTCCACCCATCTGGCTCTCCTCTGCCCAAAAGCAGCCAGAAAACTGAAGTTCTGGTTTGCCAGAAAAATCAACATTTTTAATACTTGCTCTGTGACGGGGCAAGAAACCGAAAGGTAGAAATGTCCCGTAGGAAGGACATGCCAACAGTTTTTAAGAGACATCTAAACATTTTGCTGGGACACTGAAGTCAGGCACAGATATGCAACGTAGAGATCTGTGTGCTGATAAGAATGACGGTAATGCAAATAATTCCATCTTAAATGGCAGGATTTAATGCTCTTAAGAGAGATGAGAAGAGCTCTCAAAATGCTCTTCTTTCTTTTTCTAAGAAGGACTATAAAACCAGCACGTTCGTGTGAAGGATGTTGATTTTTGACCTAAAACTACATTTCCAGGTGGACTATCAACACCTGCACTTGGCTGCCAGTGCCCTCCTGCCCCATGTGAGGAGACCCAGGGTCCCCACCCCCCTGCACCGCGGGATATCCCAGCTCCTCTGCTTGCCTGAGGGTTTTCCTCTGCATGTCCTCATCGGTGATGCCGTGGTACACCAGGGTCTCATTCCACACGGGGTTACGGGTGTTGCGCAGTGTCTTCGTCCTCAGCTTATTTGACTACAACACCAAAACCAAACATGGCCCAATGACAGCCCTGAGCTCCTCCCCACCTAAATTTAAGCCCTTGGCAGAGGAATGTAAATTAGATGCTCCATCACCTCTGGCTCACAAGAGGTGGTTTAACTGGGTCAACCCTTCCTCAAAGGTTGTCCCACTGACACCAGCTTGGCTGGGCTGGGGAATGAGGTTGCCAGGGCTTTCTTTGATGGGGAGAGCTAGAGTTTCCTCAATGGTTATCTCTTTGCAGCTCTAACAAGAACATGTTGCAGCTTCAGAGCAAATGGATCATCCAGACTCTGGTAATAATTAAATTTTTTGCATTGCGTTAACAGTGTCACCTCCTCTGGAGCTCCCCTCCATCCCTAAGCAGATCCCTGTCCACAGGGTGAGCTGTTCCTCGGGTATGGGAGAGCATCTGCAAGCACCATCACTTCTCTGAGATACCTCCCAGGTGAAACAGCAGCAGGCGAATGTGCAGAGGAATCAAGGGAAGAAAATCTGACTCAAGGAAGTGATCTCAGGGGGCTTTGAGAAACCTCTGCTCCATCCACAGCCCAAAACACACCCAAACCAGGCAGAGCCTCACCTTGCTGGCTCCAGGCAGGAGGTGCAGTTTGACATAGGGATCTGCCAGGCCATTTGAGTCCATTGGCTTCAAGCCCTAAAAGATAATATAAGAAAACACAGTGGATGAATCCTCCTTAAGCAGAGCCAGGGAAGACAAAATGCCACCCATGAAGCAACTCAGTGAAGAGAAAATGCAGTCAGCAAGTCAACAGCCTTCTCCTCTGCCCTGAGCAGGCATGGGTGCCACGAGGACCTGAAAAATCAGAGTGGCTCAAGGAAAAGCCCCACAGACCTCTCCTTCCCAGGCAGGAGCAGCAGAGACAGAAAGGATGGGCTGAGGTTCACAGAATCCCAGACTGGTTTGGGTTGGAAGGGACCTTAAAACTCATCCAGTTCCAACCCCCCTGCCATCAGCAGGGACACCTTCCACTAGACTAGGTAGCTCAAAACTTCATCCAACCTGGCCTTGAACACTTCCAGGGAGGAGCAAATTGGATGTGAAATGGTGAAAGACAGGGAAAAAGGAGACAACTTACTTTGGCCTTGATGAGGGTGCAGTGCAGGGAGCTGTTCTCCTGGTCGTAGAGCAGGCTGAACTCCAGTGCTCCCAGTGTAGCTGAGTGGAGGGAGAAGGGAGGAGTTGGAAACAGGACCTCATTAAAACCCCAGCCAGTAAGTGTTTAATCAGCCCCGATTAGTGATAATTAGAAAGATTTGTGGTTCAAACATAAAGCCTCTGCTCACCAAAGCTGCACAGAGCTGGAACTGCCTCAGGCCCAGGGAGGGCAGCTCGGGGTTTTGAGCTGGTTTTAATATTCACCAGGCAAAGGACTTATGTGATGGTACAAACCCTTCCCTGGGCACAGCTCGGGGAGGCAATGCCACCCCAGGACCACCCTGAGCAGATGTTTCAGCTCAGGTGGCCAGCATCCCCTCCCAGGGCTTGGGGCTCAGCATTTGGCCCCCATTTTGACTTGTTGGAAACCAGCTCACACTTGTCTCCACATGCTCAGCGGGAAAAGATCACAGGGATGAAGAGTTAGCACAGAACTTCAGCTGGGTCCATCTAAGCAGGATTTCTGCACCTTCTCCTGGCCCAGAGCAGCTCTTCCCATCCTGGATGGGAAGAGGCTGGAGATGCAAAGCGATGCCCTGCCACGGACACTCACCCTCATGCAGCAAACTCCCTCATTAGGGGAGCAAATGACTGAACATGGAGATCTCCTGGTGTAAAGGTTCTGAAGCCACCAAGCCTTTCCCACGGATGGGTCTGGTGGCATGGCTCACAGTGAAGGACACTGATGGAAACGGGCAACTGCTTTTGGGACTCCAATTTGGAAATGGGAAGGCCGTGTGAAAACCATCAGTGTCAGAGCTCGTTAACTTGGTGTAAAACCAACTGAAGGCCCCATGATCTGCACTGAAACCACTGAGCAGGGACAGCCTGCAAGACCCCGTCCTGGCTCCGACGCAGGGAAGCAGTGGTTCCCCAAGGATTCATGGAGACCCGTGACCTTACGGTGAGAGTCATGGTGCCACAGCAACCACCTCCTCAAAATCCCGGGTTTCCCAAAGAAATTGCCCCCTCCCCTCCGGCCGGGCGCCCGGGGTACTCACTGCCTTCATCAGAGTCGTAGCTGTTGGCATCCTCCTCCTCCTCCTCCT